ACGTTAGGAAACAAAACTTCCAGAACACGGCCACACAGCCCGGAAGACCCACACCAGCCATTGTATGCCGGCCGTGAAAGCCTTCGACAATACACAGTTTACATTTTGTTATATTTTATTGCTTTGCCTACATCATGCTTAGCTATAAGCACACACTAAATAAAAGTTGCTATTATTAGTATTTTGGGCAACCAAGTTGAATGAATCAATAAAACATGCAATGAGAACCTAGTAACTATGTCAGTCTTATTTTTCATTCCTCCCCAAGTTTAATACAGCTGCTAAACTGGCAGGTATTATTGGGCAGGGCAACTAAAACACAAAACTGAAATATCTACTAGTCACAGACCATTGGGCTGATCTTAGGATAGCTCTGAATCGTAAGTGGTCTCTTTCTTATTAGGTTCTGTAAGGATTTTCCAAGAACTTCCTACATTTCAGCAGAGCCTTCCTGTTGTCTGAAGGTGTATGGCTCAAATATTCCAGGATGTCCATCCTCCTCATGGAACTTTTGTATGCCCGCTTTTTAAATAGTCATATGAAAGGGAGGGAGTGGTACTGCAGCAGGCCAATTGCAAACATTGGAATCAACTCTAGGTGGCAGCAAAGGACTATCATTTTCTAAATCTCTTGCCATGTTCAAGTCATCCAGAATTTTGCAGGCCTTCTATTATCTCACCTCCTGCTGCAGCAATCAGAAGGAAAGTTTTGTAACAAAAAAGAAAGAGGAGAAAGGGAAAAGGAAATTCAGTAGTTTACTTTAGTGAGGCAATATACAATAGAGGAGAGAAATTAATTTGCTTTATGGTCCTAAATGCTAAATTGTGTAACAAGGTGCTATTGTGTTCCTTTCAAAAAAAACAAGAGCTTTAGAATAAGGTCTCAAATTCAGATCCTCACAAGTAGCACATGAGTTCATTAGCCTGAGTCAAGCTGAAAAGCGTCACATTAAATATACATTAAAATTAAAGAAACATTACTGAGAAACAACTATTTCTCCTTGGTGATTTAGCTGCCAATGTTTTCCACTAATGAGAACACCAATATTTCATTTTATTACTGGGCTGATTTTTTTTCCCCAATAGATGAGATAGTCTAGGAAGCCCATGCCAGAGCTGTTCCCTACCCCAACCCCGCTCCTTGTAGAGCAGAGAGGTTCTTTTTGGTCTTTTTCTTGTTTTCCTTTCCCCTCTCTCCCCGTACCTGGCAGATACTTTTCTTCTTTTCTTTGCCTGAACAGAGATTGTATGTGCTTGCTTCCTGTCTTTTCCACCCCTTGCCCAGCCCAGTGACCCTTCCAGTGGAGGGTCAAATGGCCTTCTCCCCTCCTTTGGTCACCCCAGTCTCTCAGCTAATCTTCTCTGACCAAGTCTCACTTCTCTCTCCCTACCTCATAAATCTCTCTCTCTCTCTCTCTCTCTCTCTCTCTCACACACACACCCATGGAGTATGACAGCAGGCAGGGGGTCCTGGAGGGCTGTGCTAGAGACCCAGCCAGGTCCTGCTGTTGCCAGATCTGCTGAGTTGGGCTATGGCAAGCCACATTGCCACACCCGAGGCCCAGCTGCACATCTGCATGGCACTCAGTGCCCTGGCTTTGCTGGGTAGCATCGGTGCCTACAAATGATTGCTGTGGAGTACACAAGGCCACATTTCCTTCTAGAATGAAGATAAACACTGCCTGAAAAGTAATGCAGTGATTTCTTTGCAAAACAAGGGAATCAAAAGATGGAATGAGGAAGAAGCATCTAAATGAATTGTTTACTGTGAGAACAAAACACTCCTGTGGAGACCAAAACAAACTTTGGGGCTCAAGTTCAAATTAGCAACTTATTAATACTTCTTGGAGGGAATGCCTCATTTGCCTTAACTTAGTTGTAGTTAATTGCCTTATAAAAGTGTGCACTTTTGTAGCAAAAAATATGGTCAGAATTTCTGTAAGTAGTAAAACAATATTGAATTACAACTGACATGGAAGTGCCTCATTCTACACATAAAGTCTGTCAAACCCTTTTCTGAGGAAGTCTACAAGTAGCCATGTTTAGTTATCCAGAAACCTTGCACTGAAAATGTCAATGCTTTAACTACACAAGACATTATATTTGAATTTATTCTTGATCACTCAGATGTTTCCATCTTGTTTTCAAGAATCAAAAGGTAGACTCCTGGGGAAGAAATGGTGGACTGAAGACAGGTCCGCAAAAAGCAGAGCTGACAACCACCACAGAATGAAGAGGCGGTGAGTAGACCAGCTCTTCAACTATTTCTCTCCGGACAAGGAGAGGACTTGAGATCGCCCACAAGTGCTCCAGACAGCTGCTCCTCACAAGGAAACTGCAAGATAGTATTCTCTGGCAGGTTTACAGCTCTGCAAGAGCAGGGATCAGCCATTTTGCTCAAACTGTGGTCAGCATCTTGAAAGGACATTAAGTTTGCATACTTCCTCTTCTAATCACATTTGGAAATTGCTTAACTGCTTTTCAGCTATTAGGAACCTTTGGATTGACAAGTTCTACAGCACCGGTTGAATCCTTAGCAAAAGAAGTTTTAACTACAAGTTTAAGAACTTTTTTTAAAAAAAAAATTTTTGGAATAAATAGCAAAAGGGTGATTAAAATTTTGATTTTAGAAAGTTATAAACAGACTAAGGGTCCAGATAAAAAAAATATTTTTTTTGGTGCTTTCAAATCAGTGTTGATTCCTGGCAACTGCCTGGACTAGTCCCTGCAGTTTTCTTGGCAAGATTTCATAAGTTGTTTGCCTTTGCCTCCTTCCTAGGGCTGAGAGACTGTGACTGGCCCAAGGTCACCCAGCTGGCTTCATGCCTAAGGTGGGACTACAACTCATGGTCAGAACCACTACACCAAACTGGCTCTCTCTCTCACATCCCTTACCCTTTCAAAAACAAAAAAGTTAAATGAAGCCCACAGCCATCCAAAAGTTGCCTATTGTTTTACTATAACATAATGGTATTCAATGTTATTCAGTTTTCCTTGTATGAAGTGGAGAAAAATGAATAGAAAACATGTATCTTTTCTTTTTTATTTGTTGAATTAATAGAAAAATAAAACCTTTAATAAAATTACAGTGATGTTTAAAATTGCTTATCTCTATATACATAAAGGCAGAATTCAATACATATTCATTTGATTTGATATGCTGTTTAAAAACCAGGACTGATCAATATATTAGATTTCTGGTTTGTACTTCACTGCTGCTTCCAAAACTTTTGTCAGTGACGCTCTCTCTTAAATAATAATCCATATACATGTCATGATTCATAGGTTAGTAATTTATCTCTCACAAAGTAACCCTGTCAGAAGGCACTAATTTCTAAAATAACAAAACAATTGACAAATATACACAGGCAACAGTATATCCAATTACCTCCAGAGTATCTTAATGTTCACACTTTATGGAGCTAGTAAGGCCGCTTGCTGATCATGACGAGGAGGAGGGAAGTGTCAGCAGTGCAGAAAATTTGCTAACTTTATCACCAGCTATTTTGGCTCTCACCAACCTGCTTATAAAAGGCAACTGCTTCAACTGCTTTGCTCACACATGAGAGATCCCTCTCCCAATCCAAGTCCTACTCATTACTGAACCCTGTAATAAGCAAAAGTACTTATTATTATTCAAAGAGGAGGCTTCTTTGTTTGCACTGGAGCATTCTGGAGCTGGCTGTAACAGCATGAGACCAAGTGGCTGTAGGCCTACCACCAGCCTGGGAAAGATGTTCTTTGGCACATGAGTTGAAATGAGTGGCACCCTTAAATTGTACTCAGCTACAAAAAAAATACGTAAAACCTTGCTACAGCTTTTTTTATAGCACTTTACCAAGATAAAAATAAGGGGATTCAAATTTTTAAGTTTAATTGTAACATAAAATATGAAATAATAAATATTTGAACAATGAAAAAAGAATTTAGGATTCCTTGCAAATGAACAATCTGGGGTACAATCTTAAACGATAGACACAAGACTTCCAATTCACAATGCTCATGCAGTGAACATATATTGGGGTCTTTCCCCTGATGCATTTATTTACATCTCTTCAATGTGAGTATATAGATACAGATACATAGACTCAAATATGCTACATATTTTGCCATCTGCACATTTGTAAAATTGTCATAGTGCAATCAACTGAATTTTCCACTGTCATCTTCACTCTCCATACACATAGTGCACTCATTTCCAGACTAGGTTTTTGAATTAAATGCACGTTCCATTTTCCAGTAACCATATCCACCAAACCAATTAACATTTGATTAAAATAATTTTTGTTTTACAGTATTTCACATAAAACCTTGTAATTAAATGAAAAATATAAGCAGAATAAAACATAATTTGGTAATAAGCTTTTGGTGTTTTGTTTCGTTTTCCCAAGCATATAAATGTTGTCCTGGGACAAGCAAATGTCCTCTACTATATTGATACAGATACCATGAAAGCTGCAACTATAGGAACATGTTAGGAATGCAAGTTACATTCTAATACGTGTATCTGCATACATACACATACACTTAATAACAGCAGATATGCCATACACACAGACACACACAGTCGATCCTCATTATTTGCAGATTCCGTATTTGCAAATTCGCCTACTCACTAAAATGTATTTGTAACCCCCAAATCAATACTCATGGCAGTTTTGTGGTCATTCACAGACATGCTCAGAGCAGTGAAAATCTGAGTCACCTGACACGCACGTTCCCAGCTGAGGCTGAATAAGGTGGTACTCTGCCTTCTTGTTTCCACTCCCATACTGTAAACAAGTGCCCTGTATTTCCCCTAGGAGCAATGATTCAGTATGTACTTTACTGAATTACTTTATAGTACATAACTACTGCAAATAACAAGAATCGACTGAAAAAAAAAAACTCCCCTCTCACCCCTATGAGTGGTATAAGTGTCTTCCTCAATCTCAGGTCCTCTACCAGAGGCCTGGGAGTTTGAGGGTTCTGCACAGTATCTTAGCTGTTTCTAGCACATACATACATATATACATGTACATGTACCTATATATTTATGTACATATACACACACAGACACACACAAACTCATATTTTCTTCCAAGCAAATCAAAGGAGCATTTAATCATATGAAAAGTTTCTTTGTAACAGCAAAGTTACTTCAAAAGCAAAGTAGCTTTTATGAAAATAAAGGTTTGTTCCAGGTTCAAATGCCTCTCTTAAGATCAAAGCTTTTTATTCTATATTGTACTACAAAACAGTGAAATAAATAAGCTCTAAAAATATCTAGAAATTCCCAGTTGAAGATAGAAGAAATTAAGTTATGCTTTATTCCCACTGAAATCAATAGCATAATTCAGTCACGGAGGGCTTAAATCCCATTTTAAAGGGATTAAAAAGGACTTCAAATGGATCCAATTAATGTTTCAAATGAACAATTAAAAGCATCTAGGACAACTATCCAGGCAGTAAAAATACTGATACCATTTCTACTTTTCCATTGGAAATCTTTCGATACAAAAATATCCAGCATGGGCATTTTTTAATTCAATAAATAACTATTATTAGAAATATTTAGAAACATTTAGGGAACAAACTTTTGTCTGCTCTTGGATGATTTGCACATAACAGATAGTAACAACTTACACATAACAGATTGCACATTTCTATTTGTCAAGTTGCACTGCCATTTTTTGAAAAAACAAAAATAATAGTGTTTCTTTTAGAGTTGTTTCATTAACAATCTCAATTTAATGCTAACAGAAGAACAATCCTAAGAACAGGGCAACCTTTTCTATTAAAAAGGACAACTGCTAAGATCGATACAGTTTAAATAACTACAGTGAAAATAAAGAAACAGCATTATTTAATGACCATTAGTCATACTGTTAACATTTACTGTGTGAAAGAAGTTGTCATCTTTAAATTTCTGGTGTTCTGGCAAATCTAGTAGATTTTTAGCTTCTTCAATATCGTGTTGAATAGCAGCTATAAGTGCATCTGTAGAGGAAAGAAAACTCGTAACTACTTCCAAAGTATATAATATTGATAAGTGCTTGATTCAAGTATCAAATGAAATATTTAAACCATCTATTCTCTACAAGTCTCTTACATACTACCTAAACTAAGTGAATTATGGTCTGAGTGTGCCTTATGTATGTTGCTTTTTCAATGGAGAAAAGGTGGGAACTGAGGAAATAGTTAAAGAATCTAAAGCCAGACAATGTGGTTTCCAGTTATGGTTTACATAACTGATACCTTCCCAAAGAGGAAGTGGAGATGGAGCAAGAGAAAAGCCACAAACCTTAGGCTCATTAATATAACGTCAAACCATGACATTACTGAATGTTACATCTACTATTTATAGATTTCCTCCAGGAACTCAAGATGGAACATGTAGCACATCAACAACCCTGTGAAGTAGGTTGGGTTGAGAGATGTAAGCTACCATTGCTGCCAGTGGACCGGATCTCCTTGTTCCTAGTACAATTATGTCTCAAATTGAGATTTATTAGTTGGCAGTATTTTTTTACATCCAGATAACTGCAATTTTCTACACTGATCTGCTTCTATGTAATGTGCACCACAGGCAGATATTATAAATATAAAATTTCTCTAGGAAGAAAATGTTTCTTATCTAAAATAATTTTACCCAAACCAATATAGGTATGAATGCTCTTCATATTCTTTGCCTTAGCAACCCATATTTTAAGAACCCCTGATGTATGGTAATGATACTAATGACCTGATCTCATTAGTAGGCATTATCATTTGTGGAACAATAAATATTTAGATATTCAAGACTTACCTAAAGAATCAAAGTTCTGCTCTGGTCTTATATAACCGACAATGATTATGCTGAGTATTTCTCCATAAAAGTCTTCTTTGAAAGTGTGAATGATGTGTGTTTCCTAAAAAAAAAAAAAAATCATAGTCTGTCTCTGCATTTAGTTAAGTACCTATATTAATACAATGAAATAAAGACATGTTCATTTCTAGCTGTAAATATATGAGTAAAGCCAAATTAACTTATCATTAACTTCTATATAGAATACAGGTAGTCCTTGCTTAACGACCATTCATTCAGACCCAGCCTGCAGGGTTCAGCAAGGGGTGGAGGCGAGCCCAGAGCTGGCAGAGCCTATCGTAGGCCCTACCTGCAGGTTCTCCAGGGGCACTTCCGGCGTGCACTCTGCAGCACACGTTGGAAGCTGCTGGCCTTTGCAAGGCTTTGCAGGAGGAAGGCTGGGCCAAGAGCAAGCAGAGGGCCTATGGGTAGGTTCTATCAGCGCTGGGCTTGCCTCCACTCCTCACTGAAGCCCACAGGCCAGTTCTCCAGGAGCGCTTCCAACATGAGCTGCAGAGCACACGCTGTGCCTTCAGGAAGCCCTCATCCTCTAGTTCTGCTGTCACCCCGAACCGCGCCTCCCTCAGAGCCTTCTCCTGCCTTGCCCAGCAATGGAGTACACCGTGCCTCACCATCCCATCCCACTGCCTCCACCCCAACTGGGCCTGGCAAGCTCCCTTCAACAGATGAGGCTTCGCTGCCCTGCTGCACACATCCCAGGGCTGCACCGTCGCCCAGCACCTGGATCCTGGGCCAGCAGCAGAAGATGTCGGTCAGCAGGGGTAGGCAGCAGAGCGCAGGGCAGCCAAAAGGGCAGAGATGGGGGGAGACAGGTGGGTGTGGGGTGTTAAAGCGGAGGTGAGTATGGCAGGGCAGGAGCAGCGTAAGGTCCTAGCCTAGCAACAGCACAGTCCTAGTCTAATGACCGCAACTGGGACTACTGGAACTGCTGGTAAGCAGTGCGGTCACATGGTAAGCAGTACGGTTGCCTAATGACTGTTTCGCTTAGCAATGGAAATTCCAGTCCCAATTAGGGTCATTAAGCAGGGACCACCTGTATAGTAGTTCTGTTAGAAAAAATCTCAATCATACAATATGTAAAGTATTAACATTAATGTATACAGTCATTTCTGAAGGAATTAGCATATTCTGGATTCAACAAAATTGTGATAATGAATTCACCTCATTAAAGGTTTACACAAAATGGTCAGGAATTAAAAGTGTCATAAAACAAAACTTGGTAAATGTTTATATAAACTGTAAGTAAGAGCTCCAGCAAAAAGTGTCCAAAAATAAATTCCTATTGATCAAGTTCTGAGCTTGTTTTAAGATATTAACACACAATATACTCACCACTGATTTCTTAACATTCTTGTAATATGGATTCCAACCTATACTCAAAACCATTTTATGCACATCTCCACTTCCAACACAAGCCCATCCATAGTATATGCCAGTAGATATATCAGATGGGAAACTGTCAACCACTCCTTCAGAAAAGTTAGCTGAAAAATAAAATATTTATCTAATGAGTTAAAATAACTCATAGCACATGCAAAAAGATCAGTCAGAAAGCCTTAGATCAATACATACATCTATTTTAATAGCATCAGAATAGAATCCAGGTAAGGTTGACTTTAACTCAGGATGGTCTGAATATAACTAAGGTAATACACATCAATGTTTAAGTCACTCTTTAATTATTTATATTTATATACATACTGCACATTCTCAACCAAAAGGGCAGCCTGCATTTGAACTTTCAAGAATGTTTCTTGCTTTGTAATTTGGTAATTTGCATGTATAAAATAAATTATCTTGGCTGTTAGAAAAATGAGTACCTAGTCTGCAACATAATGAAGGTACAGTGGTACCTCGGGTCACGAACTCTTGTGTTCACGACCAATTCGGGTCACGAACAGCTCCATTCGCAAAATTTTGCCTCCATTCGCGAATGCCGGATTGGGTGACGAACAGGATCCGCGGCCATTTTCCCTCCCGTGATACGTGGTCGTGGGTTTCTTTAGGG